TGCAAATGTTGTGTAAATGATCTGCCCAACTCGCTTATTGCACCTACACATGCGAAAAGGGGAAAAGTGGCGTGCAAGGCCATCGGAAAATAGCTAAACCGGGTGGGAAAATCGAGGATGAGAGGAAAACTCATATATGACAGGGGCAAGTTCGATTCGCCGTTGTCTTTAGCTTTTTGTTAGCTTCTCCTTAAAGGGACTAGTAATAAATTATGTTGAATGTTTGGGGGACTTGGATTGAAGTTTGATTTATCAAAAAAGATTTTGGTATATCGAATCAAATTTAAATTTTGACTGAAGAAGTCTTATTTTATTTAAGATAAGCTAAAATCAGTTTGTTGTTTGTTTTTATTTGCTGTAGGATTTTTTTATTGATACTTAGAGTACTTGTATTTTGTGATCTTGAGCCCGAATTATACGATAATTTAAAAATTTTCCTGTACCTCATTATCGAATGTATTATTTTCAATGTATAATATTTTTAAAACTTTTTTTCTGCTACATAACAAAATTGTTTTGAAATTATTATTCCACTTAAAGTTTCCGAAATGACCTTCAAAATATTAACGATAAGTCTACATTGCAAAATGTATTTCTTTATTTGGTCAATAATGGTCAATTGTTAACATTTTAAATAATATTTATGTTCTGTTTCGACAGTTTTTCATTATTTTCCTCTGTTTTCCTCCAATAATTCGGCTACAAAAAAAAATTCTTCCATTTTCAGGGAAGTTTTTGCCCTCTTCTTGGTTCCCCCCCATTCATCGTTATTTACCTGTTGTCTTGCTGGCTAATTTCTGTTGTCAAATTCCCTCGCTTTTCTATGCATTCTATACTCAATGTTCGTTTTTTAACTACATTACGCATACGCAGTGGGGTCCGCTAGGGAAATGCTTTTACCATTTCGCTGTTTTGTTGCAGTAGCATTATTTTTTCACTTAAAGCGACTGCAACCATTGCGCTCTAGCATTTCCTCTCAATTGTACGTGTAATTTTCTTTTTATGTATGGAAAATATTTCTTTTATTGTGTTGCTGCCGCCGCCGTTGTTTGGCTTTTGTTAATGTGCAAGTGCTGGTTGTTTGTGGTCTGCTTTGTTGGCCATCCGAGTCCTGCCGTCCTTAACCCTTTGCTGCCCCACAAGCGTTCCCCGCTCCGCACATGTGTAACCTTTTTGCCACTGATGCGTTTTTAATTGTATTTGCTTCCGCTTCGCTGTGACACGTCATTTATTAGCCCAAACAAAAAATAAACAAATACGGAAAACCAAGCTGCTTTAAGAAGTTTTCTTTCCTTTAACTATAAATCTTCGGTGGGGTCTCAATCAATCTTATGGTTAAATACTGCAGCCTGATTTATTCGCTGACGTTTTGCATTATAAGGGCCATTCCCTGTGGTTTTTCCCGCAAACAAGAAGAAAAGACAAGCAAATGGCTTTATTTATAACATGATTCTGTGGAAATTGGGCAGCGGAACCGGGTTTATTATTTCGCTTGCTTTTTGCTGGGCGGCAACCGTTGTTGTCCTTTGTTGGGCAATGTCCTTGGTTGCCGCTCTTCCTCATAATTACTGGTCGAAATTTTCTTTTGTTTCGTGGTGGTTCGGTTGGAAAACCAAAACAAAAATTCTCGCACGCCCGATTTCAGTGCTTAATGTTGATTTGTTTTTGATGCCGGCTAGGAAATCACTTAAGCTCTTTTGCTTAATTGCAGGTAACATGAAGACCCACTTTCACTGAAATGCATTTCCATTGCGCTGCACTTCGATGCCCACATCATCAGTCATCACATGGATCGCTTGGTCATAGCCTATTTCCAAATAATTACCGACTGTTGAATGCCCGAGGTAGCTTGTCAATTTGGGCGTTGAAACTGTCTGACATTTCGGAAATTCTCTTCGGAATCCTTCGTTTTGACAGAAAAAGACGAATTCAACGATTCCTGCCACAAACTGGAGTACATTCACATTGCATTGAAATATATTTCCAATCAACCAATTAATGAAAATGGTTTGCTCAATAAAAACTAATTTTTAATTAAACATTTTATTTTTGATTAAATAAGAAATGTTAAATATCATCTTCAACAAATGTTTATCTTAAAAAAAAGATAAGACTGCTCTACACTTTGTTTAATATCATATTTTTGTCAATATTTTTCTGTTAAAAAATACATTCTGTTGTTTTAATTGAAGTATTTGCAAGTTTTGTTATCTTTTTTTTTGTTATTCAAAAGTGAGCTTTTGCAACATAACATGTTACAATTAACACCGAATTATTTGTATAATACTATTCCCAAATGAATGGGATCAAGCTGGATCAAGTTGCGATAAATCTCTGCAAATGGAGATAGTGCGCAAACAATGCTATTAATTTGAAGCCCAGAGCGAAATACGAATAAGATTTAAATTTTACCGGATGCATGAAGAAAATAAAGACGCAGACCACCTTTAAATGCTTAGCAACCAAAGGATGTGGACGTAAAACTGGGAAACAGAGTGGTCAAGAGGCCGAGAGCTACTTGCCATGATTCCGGTTACCCAAATCGCAACGAATTGAGTCGGAGTCAAGTCCCAAATTAATGCTAATTGAAGTGCATGACTGTCAAAAGCTTGAGGCACTTTAAGGCGAATTTTACACAAAATATATATCAAATTAATTTAAGATTTTCATAATGGTTTTGGTTATAAGTAATGCATAATTTAGGAAATTATTTTGTATTAAACATACATTTTCCTAATGAATTGTTTGTTTATGTTACAAGAGAGTTTAGTTTGATAAAAATACTACACTTAAAGTGTGATCTTTATATTTAAAATATATATTTTTAACTGCTAGACATAAAAATATTCAATTAAATATACCAAACATTTTACGGCAACCTTAATAAATGCGTATTTAGAAATCAATTTTTTCTTTCTGTGCATCGCGGAGATTGGGATCTTTTTTCCGAAAATGGCCAGATTTTCGCTTGCGGCAGGAAACCTTTCCATTTGCCTTTTTTGTGTGCCACTGCATACATTGTGCACTCTTCATTATTTAATATAAAATGCATCCTCACACGCACACACACACACACACACACACCCCCACACAAAGGAAGACAATCGGTGTGCAAGGCGAGGCGAATGAGTAAAAACGTTATTTAATTAATTAATTTTCATTAAAAACACGACAAAATGCGACGGCAAATGGGCAGGAGCAGTAGCAGGGATAGTGGAAGGTGAAAGGGACAGGGAGAGGGAGAGGGACAGGGACAGGGAGAGGGACAGGGACAGGGGCACTACAGGGCGGTACATTAAAGGACGAGCAGATGCTCCTCCCTTGTCCTGTCAGTCTGGCTGTCATTTACAATTTTAATCTCGTTGTGCAGCAGTTTAGCTTAAGTTCAGGACGGCGGGATAATGAGCGGCCGGGTCCGCGCTTAAGGATAATGGAGCCTGCAGCGAAACAGGACACCTTACCCACCCCCCTTCCCTACCCCCACTCCACCTGTAATTAAACAATCGCGTATGCAGCCAGCACTCCACCTGGCCGAAAAAGGGACCACCGGCCAAGTTGGGCCCGCAAATTTCATGGCTAATAAATCACTTTTAATATTAATAAAACATAAATCACGGCCAACTAAAAACTTGAGCTGGTAGCCGGATCCCGGATGCTGCAGTCTCATTTTGGCGCCCTTTGTTCGATGGCCAAAAGTTTCGCAGGAGCCCCCAAAGAAAGGTAACCCAAGAATGTGCCAAATCGGTGAAGGTTGGCGCAGGATAAGCGTGAGATTGGTCGAGTTTAAAGTTCAGGTGGGTTGAAGTGGCTAAAGAAATACCAAATACCAAACCTAAATAGAGGGTGAGCGATTATATTAACTATCAGGATGCCTGATTTGGCACAGTTTTTGACTAAATTAATGTGCAATAGTAAAAAACTTAGAAATCATTATTTAATTCTAAAATAACTTAAACAAATTGAATTATGATCTTTAATACTTCAGTGGACTTTTTTTTGAATGCTATATACATCTTCTGGCAACATTTTTAAGTGATATCCAATTTCCAAGTTTTACTTGTATAGTGTCACGTCGAACTGATCGGATGTCTTTGAAAAAAATTCTACTATCTTGTAGGTTGTATCTTCGGATGGAAACATTTTGGAAGAAATTAAAATAAAAATCCCCCAGACCTCGATCTGTCCAAGCCAATTGTTTTACAATGGTTAGCTGATTTTAAAAACAATTAAGGCAGACCAATTTATACAACTTTTATGTTTGACAAACTATAATAATATATATAATAACTAAATAATTCGTAGCAGTCCTAAATTAAATTTATTTTTAAAATACAAAATTAGTTTTTGCTATAAATAGTAATTTTAGTATTTTATAATGCAGCTAAAATGCGTTTAACATTTATACTATTATATTTATTTTATTTTATATTATTTCATCCTGGTGCAAACCTCTTTTTTAAAAGAGTTATTAGTTAGTTATTGTTATTAGAAAATACCTGCCGCTCGCTCACATTTTATTTAAGTTGTGTTTCTCGGATCAACAAAGTTTTGCCTGCCATAAAAATAAAAACACAAATGTGAATTAAATAATTTCCCGGAATTATCAGCAAGGGTAAACAACAAGGAAAAATATGAAAATAAACTGCTTAATTCACTGGAAACAGTAAATAAACGTATATATAAATCCCAACAATCAAAGGATAAAGGTTTCTCAACGAATCACTGAAGATGCACAAGTCTCAACAAAGAAAATAAATGTGGGAAAACAGGAACTGCACAGAAATGCAATGAACTGAATAGGCATTCAATCATGAAGAATGGCAGTGACAAGAACGAGAATATTAACATACCGATAATGCAATTGACAACTCAGTGAATAAACGTAAGTTAAGTGATTCAGACAGCGATCAACGTGTAATGAAACAGTGAATTTACACCACCACAACTTCAAAAACACACAACCCGCGTGATAGTTTTGAGTTTAAAAGTCTTGAAATTACCTTTTTTCAAAAAACAAGAGGTGAGACGAAACGGGTCCAATGCACTGGCCAACACTCGAAAAAAACTTGGAAAACAATCAACCAACACTTTTCAAAAAAAACTCTTTCTCAGACTTTCAGCTAGAGTAATTATATCACTTGTTGTTGTATCGCGCCGCTTGAAAACACTTGTCGAAATTTCAGAATTCTCAATTCGGAACTGAGTCCGTTTGGTATTTGGGATCCACTGGACTGAACTGAACCGACGCGCTAGGAAGTTGCCCGAGCACTGAACCTGTCGCGCCAAGCGCGTTTCGCATTGGGCCGACCTAGCGCAACGTGCTCGTCCTTCGGCAGCACTGGCGTCCCGATTCCTTTGTTTCCCGATGTCCTGGCCTCACGGAGTCCCGTTCCCCATCATCCAGAGTCCACGCAGCCCCGAAGTCAGCCGAAGCCGGCCGATGCGTTCGACGGACAGCTCGTGTGGCTGCCACTTCGCAGGCAGTCGAAGGTATCGTTATGTGTCCTTTGGCAACATGTTGCCAGCAACATCATGAAGCTTATAAATTGCCTTCATCTAAAGCGCACGGTTGTGAATAAGGCGTATATTTGGTCTTGTCTGTTTGATAAACCAAAGAGTTTAGTTTTTCAGGACTTTTATCTTGCAATGTTTTTAAAAGAATACGCCTTTTAAATATATCGTTCCTATACTCTTGCAGCAGATATTATAGTTTGAGTAAGAATCTTAGAGTCTAATAATAACAAAATTAAAAAACATAGTTTTTAATTGCGATTTTTAATCAGCTATTTTAAACTTTCATAAATGGCACTCAGAAATGAAAATAGCATTAGACAAGTGTTAAGACTATTACAATTATTATTGGACAATGAATTACTCATTTATTATATATATGTAAATGGGAAAACGGTTTTTACGATTTTAGGAATACATTTTTTTATTTTTACAAAATTGGACGAATATATACATGTTGTAGCTGCTATAAAAAGGATTCGGCTCTAAAAGATATGCATATAAGATAATACAATAATTCTAAGTCCGAGACTTTTAGCTTTCATTTTTCCTTAAGCCAAACAATTTTTACTTTGTAATGTCCAAAACGATTATAACATTTTTCAGGATTTTATTGATGTTTGTGATTTCTTTAAACTTAAAGGTAAAAGGGTGCCAAACAAATCTTTACCAAATGGTTTTAAAAAAATTCTGGCCATTATCCTTAGAAATCCAAAATGACCTAAAATCATTTGAAAAACAATGTTGATTACTGGAAACTTGTTTCCTGTACTTTGATCGGCTGTGGTGTCCTTTAAGTTCTGAGTTTAATTATTTCAAAATATAATTAAGATTGCAGGCGGCAAAGGAGCGTTAAATAACTTAAATAACTGTGGCTTTTGCAATCAAAGTCACTTTGTCAGCGCTCTTCTTCCTTTCGGAAAATTCACTTACCAGGTGCTTAAAGAAGGACTTCTTCCCCCGTTCTCTGTCCCTTCCCCCCTCACCACTCACCGTTCTCCTTTTCCACCCACATATCACTTAGGCAAATCAAGGAGACCAATAAAGGCAAAAAGGCGGCAACACTTAGTCAGGCAGCTCGCGATGATAGCGAGAGTCCTTGCAGAATCTCCTGCCTATCATAAGTCGTCCTCGCATGTGTGGGAAAGTGGGTGGCGGGGAAAAGGGAGGTGGGGTTGGGAGTGGGGATGTTAGGGAAAGCTAGGTAAAAGCACTTTTGCGCTTGTTTTAATGAAATTCAATGCGTCGACGGCGGCGACGTCGACAAACCTTTTCACCAAATGAACACGAAAATTTTCATCAATGTCTGGGGTGAAACGGGGGTCTACCCGAAAGTAACCAAAGAAACCCACTTTCATGCTTCATAAGTAAATTCATTTGGCACGCCCGCCAGTTCGTCCCGCGGCCCGCACCCTGATCTTAATGAAATGTCATCAACTTTGAGGTGTTTATTGCGCTGACAACACACGGCAAGAATTTCATTAGAGGTGGTCGCGTGAAAGGGTTTCTATCCCCTAGAAAATCACTCCGCTCACGTCACCCAGACGGTCACTTTTCAATGTTCGTCTCAGGCACGATTTAAACCAGATTTTAATCTGGGTTTCCCCCAAACAACAAGTCACGCACTCGTCTCCAATATATGCAAATATATATGGTGGCAGGGGAAAACGGGGAAAACCCTTTGAGCAGGACGAAAGCCGAGCCCAAAGTAATCTTTGAGTCTTACTGTCAACCGAAGCCCGATGCAAAAGGTGTGTGTGCCAAGCAGGAAAAACATTTTCATGTATCATAAATTGTCTAACACTTAAAAAGTGATTACGTCTGCGTGCACCAACCCCATTTCCTTTTTCGGCGGAGAGACCCTTTGGCAGAGCAATCCAATCGAGGACATCAATTTATAGAGTTGCCAACGGAGGAGCTTAGCACTTTAGATAAACAATTTTGTGCAAGTTGTTAACTTTTACGATGACTCATTAATTTTGTAGATTTTCACTCGTAGTTTGAATGGATGGGCTGGGTGGTTGTTCATGTTGATGTGGATGTCGATGTGGATGTGGATGTGGATGGAGCGTAGTTTCTGCTGAATTGTTGTTTGACAAAAGTTGTTTGTCGATTTTAATGATGTGACACTAAATACTTGTCAAAGGCTCCAAAAGGCCCACCAATGTCCCCGGCCGCATTGTTTTGGAACTTTTGCATAACAATGGGTTCTTGTTTCCCCAAATCCACAATGCATCCTGGCAAAAACAATAAGCATCTCGCATTCGAAACAGATGACAGGACATCACATAATTAGTGGTCTCCGGAGATCCATGACCCGCAGATCCAAAAGGTGCGTGGGTTTCGGGCTGCCGAGCAGGCAAAAACGCAACCCAAACCCAAACCCAAACCCATTACCGAAAATGAACTGTCGGTTGTTGGTCATGAACGTGTAAGTAATCGGAAAAGTTTTGCTAGTTTGTGGTCGACAGAGGGATCAGAGTTCGGAATTTTGCTTATTATAATGTTATTATGTTAATTTACAGACTCAATTCGGGGAATTCAGTCGCTCGACTCTCGGCAAATTTAATTGTGTAAAGCGAACTGAAAAGTATAAACATGTGTTTCACTAAGCTCCTTTCGTTAAATATGCATTCACTTATTTCCATGCCTAACAAACTTAATGACATTCATTCGATCATCAAAAAAAAATTGATAAGTTAAATATAAATTAAGAGTTTCCGTTTCTAAAGCCTCAATTACAACTTTTCATATACAACTGAATGACGTAAATCAAAGAAAAAATTGTAAAAGCTTAAAAGAGTCAATTTAAGGAATACATTTTAAAATCAAAGTGTAGCATCATCAGACAGTTTCGCAGTTTCGTGGGGCATTCAACGGGGCCGGAGTACCACTCCTCAAGTACTCACTTTTCCGAGGCACCAGACAATGTGGCAGAGTGGCAGAGGTCCCGACTTTTCCGGCTATAATTTGATGTTTGGGAATCAGCAAACTTGGCCCTTGTCCTTCCCTCGAAACAACCATTTGGTCGGTATCTCCCCTTGCGCTTTCGTGTTTGATGCTTTATTGGTGTTGTCGGGCAAATCGCTACAAAATGTAACTACTTAACAGCGACAACATTGCCACAGGGCGTTGCGGTGGTCATGGGTCAGGGGTCAGGGGTCAGAGGTCGGGGGTCGGGGGTCGGGGGCGTTTGTCGGAGCCTTATGGCCTGGCAAATTAAGGAATTTTCATTGAAAAAAACATGCCAGTCACGCAACAATCATTTGGTCTGGGTCAGCGTCAACAAATACTCGCCGCTGCACGGCAAAAATTCGCTTTCAAAAAAGATTCAACTAAAATGTTTATATGTGACTTAGTGCTACACTTTCCTTTTCAATACTCAATTAACTTTTAATAGTTTATCATAGTCGTTTAAAGTTATGGAGCGTTTAACGTATATATACAAAGGCTTTTAATCGTTGCACCAAATGGTATTGTTAAAGTCCTTAAATGCTAAAATTAACTAATTGTTTTGTAAATAGTAATTATTATATCAATGCTGTTATTTATTCAATTCCAACATGTCTTCTTTAATATTATATATACATAATATAATTGTTGCATTTTGTAAACTTATGTTGCTTATTGCTACTAAATTAACCTTGAAGAATTCGCATTTCGGTGTTTAAGCCAATAAAGTGTTTGCTCTCTTTTAATACTAATTAATAACTCAATGGGCAATTTCATGATATTTTTTCAGTGTACTCCCTAAGTCCCATTCCCCCTCCCCCCTCGCATCCTTTGAGCCATGGCCTGTCCATCAATGGAAATATGTGGCCCCTTTTTCCCGGCAACTTCCTCTGCCCCACTCTTTATTATTTCTTATTGAATAATTATGGGTCATTTGGTTGCGGCGACGTGGTGGGCGTGGCAGTTGATGGTGGGCGATGGGGTAGGTGGCGGGGGGCGGGGTTGCCTGTCGCCTCACGTGCTTATCTTGTTTCCGTTGCTTCATTTAAAAGTTAATGACTGCTTTTAATGCCCGGGAATCGGAGTTGGACCCCAAGGCGGGTGAACTTCAGCTTCCGGTCGGTGGCCATGTCACCAGACAGGCAAATTGATTAGGTTTAAAGGCAAAAATCATGGCATACATTAGGGACAACCGACCAAGTACCCCACCAAACAGCCACCCGTCGACCGACTATTTCCCATTAAGGGCAAAAATGTTTTACAAATTGAAAGTCACGCAACAATTGACCACCTCCAACTCCAGTCGCTCCTCTCACCCGCCGGAAAAAAAAAAGAGAAAGTAACCACATTAATGTCGGTGGTTGTCTCGCACCCGCCAACGGCTATCAAAGGCAAATGTTATTGAATCATTAACACCTGGGCTCTCACCTGGCTGCTGAAAAAATGATGCCATAAAGTTGATTAGAAGTCACTTAATGGCAGCGGATGTGCAGGTTTATTACAATTTGTAACGAGAGCCCCGAAAGCTCCGGGGGTTCCCACCGCTTTCGACATTAGCGCTTATAAAATATGCAGCATTCGCGTGTCTGTTTCCAATAAATACGGAGCACCCGGCTCCGTCCGGCCGCGGGAATCAGGAATCGGGAGTAGGGAGTAGGGAGTCGGGTATCGGGAATCCTTGGACCACGACCACTCGAACCGAAGCGAACTGAACAGGACCGGGCATTCCATTCCGGCTGGGGAGCACGGCACTTAAACAACCGTAAAGACAGCGCCGAATGC